CTATCTATCTATCTATCTATCTATCTATCTATCTATCTATCTATCTAATCTACATCTACCTATTTATATATCTATCCACCTACCTATGTACCTCTTTCTCTTTTTCTCTTTCTCTCTCATCTTTCCATCAGGACCCTGGAACTCAAGTGCCTCTACTGGTTTAGGTGCAGACAGGCTAAACAATTCTTTGTTTGCATCATTTACTACAGGACAGCTTGAGCAAGCTACTTGGCTTCCATTTCCTTAGCTGGGAACATTTTGTCATCATAGTAGGAACTGTTCTGTAAAAAAGATCATGCCAGTTAATACCACCTGAGGTATTTCTGGAAGCCTGACAGTTGAAAATAATAGTACGCTGACATGGCTGTGGCATAAGTCACTGGGCAAAGAACCAGGCAAGCCAACTGACCCAAAAGCAGGGGCTCAAGGCCAAAGTGGTAGTTTGCCGAACGGAGCTTTCCCAGTCAGTCATCAAGGTTGCAATAAATAAGCTGTACACAAACCTGAGTTATAATCAGTGGGTTTTTGGTCTCTGTTTTGTTTTCAGCTGTTTGAATTTATGAACTTCCTGGCTGAGAATGTCATCTTCTGCTACATGGGCCTGGCTCTGTTCACCTTCCAGAATCACATTTTTAATGCTCTTTTTATACTTGGAGCCTTTGTATCCTTTGAAGAAAAAAAAAAAACAAACAGAAAAATATTCAAACATTTTTCCTAGTAGGGCTTTGAAAACATCATAGGGCTGAACATGACCGTTGTAGTTTCAACATCAGAAGCGTTGTGCACATGCAAGTTTGTTTCCAGCGAATAACACCTTCTGGGACGACGGCGTTAGCTCAGCCGGTGAAGGATTTGTCTTACAACCATGAGGACCACAGTTTGATCCCCAGAACCAAAAAAAAAAAAAAAAAAAAGCTGGCCAAGGTGAAACATGCCTATAATCCCAGTTCTGGCAAAGGCATGCAGAGCTCTAGGATTTGTGGGTCAGCCAACATACTCTGATAAATGAGTTGCATGCGTTCACATATGCACACAAGCCCACGTGTACACACACACACCGGGGGGAGGGGTGCACTCCTTCTGTAGGGCTGGAGTAGGAGGCATTTCCCCACAGATATCTAGCCAAAAGGACACTGAACAGTTACAAAAGTCCCTCAGACAGACCTTCAGCTATTGTCCACCCCACCTGGAAACTGGGCTCATGCTCCCCCAGTCACAGGCAGATGATCTTAACCTCTGGAGAGCTTGCCATCTCCGTGTTCCCACTGTTCACCTGAATTTGGCGTCTGCTTCACACCATCGGGATTCTGCTGAGCTCCCTAATTTCATCTCAACCTAGATCATAGAAAGAAGGAAGCTGCCTCGCCCCAAATCTCGTCCCCCTGTCAAGAACAAGCTAGAAGAGACAGACCATCCAAGAGAGAACAAGGGCAACAGCGAATGAGGGAGGCTTATGGCTGAGGTTTTCAGTAGACGTTCGCTTAGGAGAGACCGAGGCTTTTCGGGAGCCTCTCGAAGTAGCGGCTGCTGATAGGTGTTGACGGTAGGCTCTTCTCAAAATTAAATCCACCAAATGGAAGCGGTAAGCGGGATTGCCGGAAGCAGGCGCGCGAGCTGCTGGGAAGCGAGATGGAGAGCACCGGCAGAAAGGTATCTGTTCTTTCCAAAGAGTTGCCGGGGAAGGTAACACCATAGCACGGGGCGTCCCTGCCTCCTCTCAGCTTGCAGCAGAACTGAGGATAGTCAGTCAGCAGCAACCTAGAAGTGATGAGAAAAATCCAGTGATTGAAATGGCATCACGGTACCAACTTTCAGCCGAGCATATGTTCAAAGAGAGGCAGAATTTTTATGTCATTCTGGGGAGGGATTGACACTGAACGATGAATTTGGCGAGCGAGTTAGACAGAGATGAGTTGTCATGTTTATCCTTGTTTTCTGGGTCAGATCGTAGAGAAGCATACGGGCATGATACCCGAGCTTGCTCAGTCAGCCTCTCCACAGCAATGTTTTCCTCAACCTGCCCCAACAGCTAGCGATTTTTGTTGCCAGAGCCTGCAACATTTACCCCCTCTCCTTCCTCCTGAATCTGGGCAGAAAACAGAAGATTCCCTGGAACTTCCAGCACATGATGATGTTTTCAGGTACGTGGACTCAGTGTACACTCACGCTGCGGCTCTCCCACCTCTGCCGAGCACAGAAAGCCGTGGGGGACCCGGAGCACTTGCCCGCCTTGGACCCAGGACAGTGCTGGTCCCTCGGTGCCGGTGCCGAGCAACAGGAAGCAGGGAAGTTAAAGGGAATTTGCTGGTGTGACCTTGAGTGTCTGACCAGACGTGAGCCTCAGCTCAGCACCGGGCTTTCCTCTGATCTATCAGCGCAATTTGCATATTGAGGAATTTAATCACCACCTTCTCAATTGCATGCGCCAGCGTGTAGTGGTGGATCCTTCTCCCTGTGGTTTTACCATCCACGCCGGGCTCCAGAAACTTCCCATAGTTAGTACAAAAGCTAATCAGATCCTCGTAGGCTCCGTTATTAGTTTAAAAAACACGCTAATTGAATCCCAGCAGGTGCCCAGGAGTGGTTTTGGGCTCTGTCTGAGGGAGTCACAGGTCTCCTCTCTCAGGTAGTACATGCTCTTTTTGCTAAGACCTGGGTGGAGGCTCTCTTTTCCAAAAGAAAATACAGCAGGTGAGTTTGCAGATCACTAAGCTATTCTGAGAGATCGCAGTTGCCTTCCATTTAATTATTTTCCCCTGATTGGAGACAGAGTGAGAGAGTACCTTCAATGTGTGTGCACACCTACACAACACGCTTAGAGCAGTTCACTGGCAGGCCCATGACATTAAAGTGGAAAAAAAAATTAACTGCCCTTAGAACAGTGCCAAGACAATTGAAGCACATGAGGGAAATATGAAAGAAGTGAGAGAAGCCGACATTTGTTGATAGGTACTGTCTGCTGCTTATAATTCAGCAGTCCTAGAAAGCTAATATTAAGTTGTTTGGGGCATCGGCTCTCTAACAGCTTAAGTAATTGAGCCAAGAAAAAAAGAAAAAGTTTACAAATCCAGACTTCACCTCAACGCCAAGCAAGTCTTTTGAAATTCACATTTTGGAAATTATTTTATTATTTCCTGTGTGGGGGCGTTTTGTCTGCATGTGTGTCTGTACACCAAATGCGTGCTTACTGCCTACGGAGGCCGGAAGAGGATACCGGAGCCCCTGAAACTGGAGTTCTAGATGGCAACAGGGTGCCATGAGGTGCTGGGAATTGCGTCCACGAGACGCAACCAGTCTCTAGGAGGGCAAGCAGTGCTCTTAACCACTGAGCCATCTCTCCAGCCTAAAATATCACAGTTTTTAGGGTAGTTCTGGGAGTAGAAGGCTCCCTCCTTCCTCAGTTCTGTGCTAGCCTGGCCCACAGAGGACTGGGCGTAGCTCCCAGGGTTGGAATAAGGTGTCTTATCAAACACAGGCACATGAAGAGCCAAGGTTTATCCTTCATAGGGCTCAGGCAGGGATTCCCAACACTCCCAGACATGGTATGGTGACAGATTCATAAAGACCTTGATCCGTGTCTTAGGACAACATGGAGCCTCGACAGTGAATTGACTTCTCTTGTGGGTAAGTAAAGGTAACCTTGATCACTAAAAACCTGGAAGCCAGCCCTGGGGTGTGACGTGTTTCCCACTAAAACGTCCATGGCTTTCTTCTTGACAGCTTCTTTAGAAAGGTTGGCATTTCATTTCAAGCATTGTTTCATTTGACAAAGATGTTTTAATAATAACCCATGATTATAGACATATGTGCAAACTCTGCCTAAATGGCCACCTGGTTTGATGGTTTCTTTGTGATTTGACAGTGTCTAATTTTTGCTTTGCTCTATGATTAAAGCTGCAGAAAAACAAACAAATAAGCAAACAAATGAAAAACTTTAGTAGAATCCAAAAAGGTGGTATATGAAGATAAGGGCTGACAAGAGGCCCATAATTTGATGACGTCTTTATGATATTCTTTTTTAACCCTTTCTTTGACACATGCATATAATGTTTATCAGTGATATATCCTCAATAGTCATTAGCAATCTCTAGTCCCTCAGTGGGAGAAGGTAGAATCTAATGCACCCCTTGCATCTGATGAATCCAGACTTAGAAAAATGATGATGGACTGGTCTTATGCAGACCTTGTGCATGCAACTACAGCAAAGATGAGCTCAAGTGTACAACAGCCATGTCAGGTCCAGAAGACACACAGCACTTTCTCCCAACTCCTAGCTCTTACATTCTTTCTGCTTTCTCTTCCCCATTGTTCCCTGAGCATGAAGGGATTGACTGAGGTGTTCCACTTAGGGCCATGTACTCCACCGTCAGCTAATCTCAGGACTCTGATCAGGTGTGAGTCTGTGCGATAACTGCAGCTCACTGTCAAACGTGGACCGTCTCTGACAAAGGCTGAGAGCAGCACTAATTAATATTGAATACAAATATAAGTAGTTAGAAGGCAGCTTGAGATCATGTCCACTTAACGAAACAACAGCAATGGGGTCTTCACTGCTGCAGCCGTAGGCACGTGACCAGGCTTACAGCATCAGACGTGGGTTGCCCTAGTGAGCACATCTTGCCTGTCAGTTTGTTATTGTAGTTCATAGGAACTACAGCTGGGTAGGACTGTTTCCGGCTTTCTCCCATTGTGTAATACATGCTGGCACAGTGAAATATAGCCAACAGAGAGGGAGCCTCTTGGTCAACTCCACTTGACTTGTCTGTGTCCTATAACCCAGGCCACAGGGTCTTATTATCTACTTCTGGTGAAAAACCAAAACTTACAGAGCAAACAATATGCTATATTGTTTGGGGGGATTCTGAGGCCCCTTTGACCAACAACTCATCAGCTGGTACTGGGTTTGTCATTTAATAACCTTCGGCTTCCAGGGAAAGCATTATCTATCTATAAGTAAATCTATTTAAACCATGTGTGCATGTGTGTGTGTGTGTGTGTGTGTGTGTGTGTGGTATGTTTTGGAAGTGTTTTAAATTTTCCCTTTTCTAAAAGGGAAGCAAGACTCCTTAACCTTGATGGAGTTGAAATGCTTGATTTAATTCATAGGGATGACTCATCACCATCACCAAAAAGACCAGAAAGCCCAGTCTTCAACACGCTTACCTATATGTGGCCCTGATGTTCAGAGAGTGTGCGGGTTGTTTTCTTTACTGAGCATCTGTGTCACCTACCAAGCACTAAGTGAAAAGAATCTAGGTAACACAGAGATTAGGTTGTTCCTAAACATTTCTAATAATGTTTCTTAAAAGTAAATAATATTCATAGTACTGCTTTGTATAGCAGAAAAACCACTGACGTTTTCATTAAACAGCTGCCCTCATTTTCAAACATTTTTCAGGGTTATATAACCGTGTGATGGGCCCACTGATGCCACAAGACAGATTTCACATTTTGCCTTCTCAAAGCCTTTGAAACTCATAGCTAGGCAAGACCGGCAGAGGTTAATAACCTTTGATTCTTGGTTGTTACCTTTTTCCCCCCTCTAATTTTCTGTTGTGAATTCTTGCAATATAAACTTTATCATCTTAAGTGCACAATTATTCAGTGCGTTCCTAAACTGTGATGAGCACCACCCGTAGCCACACTCTTTTCGTCTTGTTAAATGGAAAATGTATGCATTAAACAATAGCCCCTCATCCCCTCCAAGCCCATAGAAACTACTAAACTACTATATTACTTGCTGCTTCTATGGTTTTCACTACCGTGGTTTCCTCGTTTCAGTGAAGTCCTGCCATTTTGTCTTTGCATGATTGAACTGGCATTGTGTCCTCCATGTTTGCCAATGTACAGAATGATACAGAAGCTCCTTCCTTTTAAGGCTGAATGATGGTCTCTTATGCATGTGTGTTGCTTATCTAATCACCCATCACTCTTAGGTTTCTTTTTTATCTTTTAGATATTATGAATAACCCTGCTATGAACATGGGTGCGCAAATCTCTTTAAAGTGTCGCTGGCAATTTTAAATACATATCCAGAAATAGAATTGCTAAATTATATGCTAATTCTACCTGTTAATTATTTGAGGAACTGCCGTGCCGCTTTCCATAGTAGCTGTGCTGTTTCATAGTCCCACCAAGAACGCTCAAGAGTACCAGTCTCCCTGTGACGTCACCAACACTTGTTTACTTGTCTTTGTGGCATCTGTGCTCTCAAAATGAGGTTGCAGCAGACTGTTTTGATTTACATTCCCTTGCTCACTAGTGATGTGTTAAACATCTTTTCAGGGACACATTGGCCATCCATCTTTTTATTCATCTTAAAAAAAGTCTTGTCTTTTGGTCAAAGATTTTCAAACTTTCTGTTTCCTAGATAATGACCCCTTATAAAACAGATAGTTTGCAAATGTTCTCTCCCATTCCGTTTGTTTCTGTTTTGCTGTGATTATATTGTCTTTTGATGCACAACATTTTTAAACATTCTCACCAAGACTAGTTTATCTTTTATTTATTTTTGTGCCTTCTGTGTTATACCATAGAAATCATTGCCAAATTTGAAATTTGCAAAGATTGTACCCTACAGTCTCCAAAGAATGTGATAGTTTTAGGCTTTGCTTAGTTGTTGGTACATTTTTGCATCTGTGTAATTTGAGAGTGCAGCTTCATTCAGTCACCTGGATATCCAGTTGTCCAAGTATGATTTGTTCAAACTGCACTTGCTTTTTGACTGATCTTGGCAGTTTTGTCAAGAACAATTTTACCATATATGTGAACGTTTACAGTCAGGTTAATTTTTTAATGCCATATGTTTGTCTTGCCTGTGCTACACTGTTGAGATGATTCAAGGTGAGTGTGTGTGTGTGTGTGTGTGTGTGTGTGTGTGTGTGTGTGCACGTGTAAGCTGCAGGACAACTTTTGGTGCTACTCCTCAAGCAACATACAACCATTTTTTTTCAAACCACAACTCTCACTAGCCTGTAATTCACCCACTAAACTAGGCTGCCTAAATCAGCCCCAATATTCACCTTTCTCCTCATTCCTAGCATTGGGATTGTAGGTACAAAAACTGCCATGCCTTTCTTTTTTCTCTTTCTTCCTTCCTTCCTTTCATTCATTTTTATATTTATTTATTTATTTGTTTGTT